AGGGACACACACCGGGGATGGATCACCCACCCTTGGGATGCTCAATGGGGATGGGGACACACAGCCCGGGGACACCCATCGGGGACAGTGACACTCACCCTGAGGAACACTCACTAGGGATAAGGACACCCAGCCTGGAGGCATCCACCAGGGATGGATCAGACAGACACCCTTGGGACACCCAATGGGGATGGGGACACACAGCCCAGGGGACACCCACCCTGAGAACACACACTGGGGACACCCCTTGAGGGTAGGGACACCCACCCAAGGGACACCCACTGGGGATGGGGACACTCAACTGGACGAGGTTTAATAAGGCCAAATGCTGGGCACCTACCAGGGATGGATCACCCACCTTTGGGACAGCCATTGGGGATAGGGACACCCACTCTAGTCTAGGGACATCCACTGGGGATGTGTCAGACACTTTTGGGATACTCAGTGGGGATGGGAACACCTCCCCTGGGACACCCATCGGGGACAGGGACACTCACCCTAGGGGCACCTACCAGGGACAGGGATACCCACCCTAAGGACACACACCAGGAACAGGGACAGCCACCCTGGGGACACCCACTAGGAACGGGGACACTCAACCTTTAGACACCAGCCTGGGGTCAGGAACACCCAACTATGGGGTCCTGGGGGAAGGGACAAGGATGGGGATGGGCATGGGCACCCAAACATGGGGAGCCCAGGAACAGGGACCTCAGGGAAGGGGATCCAAGGGTGAGGGCAGGGATAGGGGGGTAAGGGAAGAGGGATGGGGACACAGGCATGGGGACCCCAAGGGACAGGACTGGGATGGGGACAGCCTTGGCTGCACAAGGTGTGTGGGAGGCAGCTGGATGATCCCATTATCCATGAGCTCCATTCCTTACCTGATCCACACCAAAACATTGCATTACATGGTTAATATCATAATGCATCATCTAAATATCACAAAATTCTGGAAACAACATTTGAACTCTGAAAACTACAACTACAGCTCCACTGACTGTACAGGGAATTCAAGGAGGCACTTCAGCCTGGCCAGGATGTCAGGACAGGTGGCTGCTCTTTCCCAGAATCCAGCAGCTCCATCCACACCCAAGTATCTTATCTTCATGCTGAAACCCGTTAAAGCCAAGCACAGTCACTGAGGGCAGGGACAGCAAACACCTGGTTTCTGCAAGGCAAGTGTTTTATTGGAGAAGAAGAAGTTCACATGTACTTCCCAGTGTAATACAGGAGAGTTTGTTCAGATCCATAAACATCAGTGCACATGCACCTTGCTCTTTTTCCCAGACCTGGATCTTCCAGCGATCAGCTACAATTCCAACTGTGCTCTAACTCTGCTATTCCACTTTTCCACTACTATAGTTCTGATAAGTGTTACAAACAGCAGTGGCAGATTCCCCTGACTGCAGCTCTGATTCAGAGGAAGCAAAAATTCTTCACTCTTTGTACCATATTTACAGAGACCATCGTGCATTGCTTGAAACTGTACCGATTACAACATCAAATTTAAACTTCATGAAATCTTTACAGCACAACCACTGAAAGTTAGAAGAAGTCTAAACACATTTGAGCATTTCTGAATGTAATATTTTAGTGTGAGTCATAACAACAGTCTGAAGCCTAAGCACTCAGGTCATTCTCACCAAAACATCTGATTCACACAGGGTTTGTGGGACTGCCCTTACTTTCACCCTCTTTACCACTCTCTTCCATTAAAATCTCATGGATTCACTAAGTACTCCAGCTCACGTTGTACACCAATATCTTTGCCGCACACCTTTCTCCCCAAACTCCCACTGCCTGTGTTTTCTGTAAAAATAAAGCAGTTGGAGCAATAAAACCCTTACAAAGCCATAGGATTTGACAGTTCCTTCCCTAACCCAGTGGTGGCACATCAGACCAAGCTCTGCCCACTGCACCTCACTTCCTAAAACTGCAAATACATCAAGCACTGACCTCCCCAGCAGCCACAGGAGCTTCCTGCACCAAACCACAGAGCCTTCCACACTGTGCTGCCTTTTCACACAGTTCTTGAAAGATGTTACTATTGCAGTGCTAATATATCACATGAAAACTATGAAATATTATCAAACTTGGGTGGTAACAACCCATTTACTGACCATTCTGTTAGTTATCAAGGAACTAGACAACCTTTTCAGGAAATACCACTGGAATTGCAGTTCTCATAGCAAGAGGAAAACAAAAGCCTGGGATTAAATGACATTAAATGAAAATAAATATTAGAAATGTTATTCATTACATCATCTTGTAAGTGCAGCCAAAGGGCCTTGTCTGCTCCTTAAATCAAACAGAGAATGTTTTCATTCCAAGATTCACAGAATCTGATTGAAATTTTGGATTAGGACAGTTGACATAGGGAAGGAAAGGGAAGACAATAGAAATATTAATGGGAAAAGGGCTGGAAACAGAGACAGAAAACTAAAGCAGAACAAACAAGGGGAGATATAAGGAACTAGTTATTACCTGCAGCACCACCATCCCACAGCTGCAGCTCTCTCATGGAGCAGCAGCAGGAGTGGGAAGATGCTGCTGTGGAACAACTGTGGGAACACAGCAGCTCTGAGGTGAGAGAACAAGGTCAGGCTGACTGTTATGCTCCTTTTCCAACGCAGTGGAGCCTTCACAAACAACACAGCCCTTTCCTTCAGCAGGGGAGGAATCTGTGCTGGGGAACTAGTGCCTAAGTTATAAATTACACAATTGCTCTTAATTAGTGAGGCTCAAGAGTGCACTAAGCCTTTTCCATGTCCATGGTGTTTTACCATCAGTTCTGACGAGCAGGAGTTGCTCACTCCTAAGGGACTGTCTCAGAATTTCTCAAACCTACCTGGTTATTTCAGAAGTTTCCTCATCATGTTTAGGGTAGAGCCCCTGTACCCTGTGCCAAAGTGGTTCCAGTGGTTTATGTAATTGAAGAGCTGATACAACTTGTTTCGTTTCTCAAATCCTGGAGCTTTGGGTATTTTACTGTGGTAAGCAGAGAAAAAAGAGCTGCTGAAGCCCCCAAACATTCCAGCAATGGCCAGTTCAAACTCTGAGTGGCCGTAGAAGGAGGCAGGGTCAAAGATAATCGGCCCAGAGTCATCCTCAGCCACATTCCCTGCCCACAGGTCTCCGTGCAGGAGAGCAGGAACAATCTCCACGTCACAGAACATTTCAGGAATCTTTGGCTGAAAAAACATAAACAAACAGGTAACAATTAAAGAGTTTTGAAGAAAATATTGGAAAACATAAAGTACTGTAAGAGCCTGAGCTGCCTGTGTTCAGCCCTCATGGAGTGCTTTGGAAGCTGATGGAAGACAAAGCACAAAACAGTGATGAATGTTCTTGATTGTTCTTGGCAGAGCTTAGCAAAGCATTTAATTCACAGTCTGGTATCAACACCCAGTACTGATATTTCTAGACATGGATAGTGTTGGCTGCCATGAGAACTGCACTTAAATCAAAAGGTTTCAGTAGGAGAAAGGGCAGCAGGAAACATCTCACCACAGCAGCAGAACTAAAGAACAGGAGATTGCAGAGGAGCACATCCCTGGCTGTTCCCATGGAATGTGGCCTGAACCAGCTCCCGCTGTGAGGCTGCACCAGGTGAAACACAAATCTGTCCAGGCAGCAGAATCTCACCCACTCTGTCACACTGAGCTTTTAGGTAGGATTTACCTTATTATTATTAGCTGTTCTCACAAATAAGCATCAGTGCTGAATTACAGCTTGATTTTCACTGTAACAAATGAAAGAGCAACAGAAATTCTGTCCAGCTGACAGTGCTGTTGGACCCACTGCGAAGCTCATCTAGCCACTGCTCCTCATCCCAAGCTAGGTAAATCCCTTATAAAACACCTTTACAATCCCACTGATACATGTTTTCTGACATTCTAAAAACCAGATTGAAGACATGGTTCATACTTTCAGCTGTGACCAAAGTTCTCTGGCTTCTCTGTCTCCATAATCTTTCTCAATCAAATCCAGCTGAGCCTGGAGTCGGTGACGGATAAAGAAGGATGGCCAGTCACTCTGCCACTCATTCACCTGCAAAACACAGCACAGAGGTTTGTCACACACAGTTCTGACATGTATGTAGTCAGTGCTAAGAACACATAGACTGTGAAATGTTCAGTGCTGACACAATGGCCTGGACAACATCAGTGTGGCCAATGCACAGTGGCATTAGTTGTTTAGTTGATTGTTCTTTTGGGAGTGCTGCTCTCTTCACACTTAGCAGGGACTGGCTTGAACATGAGATGGAAGTCAAGGTTCTCGATATGTTCATTCATTCCCGTTTTCTTGATGTATTTTAGAGGGAGAGTTTCTGTTTCTGTGAGATCAAGTCTCACAGAAACAAGTCTCAAGGGCTGGTCTCTTCTCCCAGGCAACCAGCAGGAAGACAAGAGGGCACAGACTCAAGCTCTGCCAGGGGAGGGTTAGGTTGAATATTAGGAAGAGATTTTTTCCAGAGAGAGTGCTCAGGCATTGGAATGTGCTGCCCAGGGAGGTGGTGGATTCACCATCCCTGGAGGTTTTCAAGCTGAGACTGGATGTGGCACTTAGTGCGATGGTCTGATAACCACAGTAGGGTTGGACTGGATGATTTTGGAGGTCTTTTCCAACCCTGTTGAGTCTATGATTCTAAGTCAGCTGTTCACATCAGATTTTAAATTTTTTCTGGAAATGCAGAAATGTTGGTCATATCAGATTTTAATTTTTTTCTGGAAATGCAGAAATGTTGGTTCATTTTTACTGGGTAACACTTTTCTAATTTGGAGAAAAGTTGTATTTAGTAAAGAGTCTGAAATACTGCACATTCAGTCAGTGAAGTAGTAGAATGAAATGCTGCCATGTGCAGGGCCAGCAAAAGGCTGATTTATCTCTGAGAGTCCTTTCCTATGCCTTGGGTGATGTGTTACACAATGAGGCTCTCTCAAAGCAGTGAGGTTTGTCATTTGAAAGCCACAGAGTAAGGGCTTAATAAAAACAAACCCAAGACATGGTATCTGAAGGGATACTGATTTTAAAAGTATCACCAAGCTAAAGAACCACCACACCATTTCAAACTCTCACTCAAGGAATGTGTTGGCCACATGTGTGGTACCCAGGCACAGCTGGAGAGCTGTCATGTTCCCCGTGCTGTCAGGGCAGAACAGAACAGTGGAAGCAAAGCTGTGCTCAGAGAGCTGCAGGCCAGTGGAACAAACTTGTGTATGATTTGTTCACAGACCTCTGTGAGTGCCTGTTGGCTCTCACAGCCATGAACATACCTGTGGTATGTACCCACAGCAAGTGGCTGTGTGGAATCCAAACTGCTCCACGTACTGGGACTCGCAGTGACCAGCTCCTTTGCCTATCAAACAAGATAAGTATCAGGGGCTTTGAGATCCTGGCATGGCAAAGTTTGCAAACACAGAACTTAACTTTAGAGAACAGGCAGACAAAATATCTTTAAGTCACACTTATTTCATGGTCACAACCCAGAAAGAACTATCTTAAACTTGACAATGCTGAGTGGCAATGGAGACACAGTCACAAGTCAATGACTTTGCTTTGGATGAAGGAGTTGGACATTCAGAAACAGACACAGATTCACAATCTGCTGTTCTCACACTTGGACATGTTGCCTTTAACTGTGGCTTGGTTTTGATTCACAGATTCTTTGAGACCTGCCAGTAATCAGGCCTTCACTCAAAAATAATGGATACTTTACTACTTATTTGAGTTAAAAAATGTCACCCACAGCATCTTTGAAGGGGAACTTAATTATGCCTTCATTAACTGGGACCACATTCTGTCATCACCAGCAAACAAAAGAGGCTAAGAACATTTCAAGAGAGTGAGGGTATATGAGGCTGAAAGTTTTCACTGACAGTGAAAAAGACAATGAGTCCAAACTGTTTGACTCAGGAAACGCTGGAAGCTTCAACAATCAAGTATCTGTGCTATTTCTTACTGGATTTCAGCATCCACATAATTTCACACGACAATGAGGAATAAAAAGTAAATTAATTTGGTTCTGCCAAAGTTAAAATGATGTGGTTAAACATTATAATAGTAATTGTAGCTGCTGAGCAGGTATGTCCATCAGAGTGCCACAGGGACAGGAGAGACATAGCTCAGGAAACTGTCCCAGTATTGACTGTAAGTGTCCTTAAAATTACAATGCAATACTGCATCAGAGCTAGAGGAATTGCTTCCTTTTTGGTTTAGTACATAACATCAATACCCTACCAATTGTGCTTCCCTCATTCCTCAGCTTCTCTCCAAGTTTCTGGTTGTAAAGATGAAGCTCTGCTATCTGCTCTCCCAGCTTTGAAGAATACCTGTGGGAACACAAAAAGAAACCCCAAAATGAAACTGAAACAAGTGAACAAATATTATAGATGGATAAAACCCTCAATTAAATATGACCAAGGCTATTTTTAGAACACCTGAATCAATTTCACAAGTAGATAACAAGGAACAAATGACTGGAAGCTCTGAAGGCACAGGCTGTAACAGATAATACCATGAACACAGTCAGTGCTCTTGCAAGAAAGGTAAAGAGAACACAGGGTGGTATAAACAGGAGCAGAGAGGGCAGGAGGATCAGGTGCTCCTCCTTATCAGCCCCAGGATCAGCAGGGAACAGAACAAGGTATCTGCTGTTGGGGTTTATCCCTCCAGACCAGCTGAACAGCAATGGGAATGGTTAGCTGTAGGCAGGGATTGAGTTGAGGTTGCTTAATGCTGGAGACAGACAGCTAAAAACCAGTCAAATATTCCACGAATACCTTAACAGGAGTTGCAAGGACAAAAACTCATTTCTTCTCCCTGCCCAGAATGGGGAGAAAATAATGGGTGTAAAATTGCAAGCAGGAGGACTGATGTCAGACATTGGAAAATCCTTCCTAGGAACAGTGGGATGGATTGAAAAGGACTGCTTGGGATGCTGTGGAATTGCCTATATTGTCCCAGTAGAAATAGATAGGTGGGACAAACAGCTGCCAAGTTGGCATGTCAGTGTTCCCACAGAGGCCTGGACACAGCAGTGAACTCCTGAAAGCCTCAGCCCAGGAGCCTCTGGCTGCTGAATTCCCTGTTCAGGTTGGCTGATGGATGAAATGGAGTTGTCATCTATTCAGTTTGTTCTTCCTCACCCTTTGACCTTGTTGACTGACTGCAATCACACTGGAACATTCTACTGAGAGAAGCAGAGATTTCAAAGACCTGAGGAGCCTGTAAGGTTAAAGAAACGTGATGGGCTGGGAAAATAAACTCCAATGAACACTCTCAGGAGAGAAAGATGAGCCACACTCAGCTGTGAGCATTTCAGCACACAAAGCTCTGGGCTAGCAACAGCCATTCCTGGTGCAGAGAGAGGGTCAGGGAACAGCAAACCATGTGGAAGGACTGTGTACACACACACAGATATATCTAATATGTACACAAAGACAGACATAAACACAGATCTTGATAGAGAGCAGCTCCATCTCTGAGAGAACAGAGTTCTGCTCATGAAGTTTTCTGACTGACTGTAAGAGATAAGAAAATATGCCCCAAAACATAGCAAAATAAAAAAAAAGATGTATGGACATACTTGTTGAGGTGCTTCATCTTTAGGTACTCCATGGCAAACATTGCTCCTCCTCCAGGCAGGTCAATCACTTTGATGGGCTGAGGCACTCTCACAATCTTGGTTTTCTGAATTGCTTCCAAACTTGCCATTTCCCCTTCAAACATTTTTCTAGCCTGTCAAGGAATGAGAACATCCTTGGGCTAAACTATAGATGTTTGCAATGAGTACTTTGGAAAAAACAGCCTCAATTACAGAGTGACAAGGAGTTAATTCCTCTTGATAAGAGGACAGAGCTGCAGCAAGGCTTGAGTCCACACAGGGAGACCTGAATGCCTTAATACTTCTTTCTTTTCCTAAATTCATTCCAGGGTAGTAGGATACATCCCATTTCACCCTGATTTCCAGCTGCATTTTTCAAGCAAATATACTGTTCTTCACAGCATTTAAGATGGTTTTGATATTGATAAAGCAAATTTTGGATGGACTGTGGTGTTAGAAAAAGCAACTGAGTATTGATTTAGTAACAGAGATGTCAAGAGCCTGGCCTGAAAAGCTGCAAGAACTTTACTTTCAGAAATGCACAAAGCAATGAGGATGTCTAAAGCTCTGTAGCTTTAAAGATAATACGTGAGTTTTAGCACTGGGCCTTGTTTACACCCTCTCACTCTTGATCCTCCCAGCTGGAACATGAAAAGGAGCACAGTGAATGCAAAGTCAGCTCTGGCCTTTTCCAAACTCCAAGTATCACAATAACAGCTTTGTGCTTGGCCTCCTTTTTAGAGGAACTGCCCTGCTGATTCCTGCAAGCCACGTTACGCTGACCTCCACCCGGGCCAACCCTGCCACATTAACGCTGGCTATAAAATAGAGACAGAAAGCTGAAGGGAAAACTGGAATAATCAAAGGTCAGCCTGAAAATGCAAACCACTGAATGATTTACACTCCCTCCATGCAATCCTGAGAGCAGTTCCAGCCCTGCTGGCACTGACCTGAGGTTTGTGGTTGATTTTCACAAACACCTTTCCGCTGTCTGTCTCGTACGCTTGGCCTTGGCTGATGCATCCTCCCCCCGAGCTCCCCAGAGCCTTCAGAACCGAGGTGTTCAGCTCTGCCTTCAGGATCTTCTCCATGCTCATTCCCAACCTGCTGCAGCCTCTGCTCTGCTAAACCCACTGCGAAACAGGATTAAAGGTCTGGGTCCTTCTGTCCCCGTCACACTGCGACGAGCGAGGAAGGGCCACCCACTGCAGAAAAAAAATACAAGGGCAGCGACAAAACAGCTCAACCAGAATGTTTCAAAATGCTTAGTTTGCCGTGGGCTGTGCGCGAAAAAATAACAATCTGCTGGAATATTCGCTAGAATAAACTGCAGAGAGGTGCGTCCTGGGGCCTCTCAGCTGCGCCGGAGCTGCTGGTATTTGTAGTTTGGAGCCGCTTTTCGGTTTAAAGCTCCAGATCTCCCGTGAAGGACCATTGAAAGCCAATCCGCTAGAGGAGGCTGAAGGCAATAACCGGCGCGAGGGGATTTGATGCGAGAGGCCAAGCCGCAGGGCAGGAGGATGCGGTTAAACCCTGCTGCGGGCCGGGACAGCGGCCGCGAGGGTCGGGGAGAGCCCACGGTCTGCGGCTGAAACGCCAACGGGTGCGGGAGAGCGGCCTGGGAGCCGGGAGATGCGGGACGGGAGCGGCGGGGGGGCCGCGGG